TCGTTTGACGTGATATCTCGAATCATATGTGCTAGTATATGATGATGTGTTGTTATTGAATGAGGATTGTGAAAATTGTGATATATATTTGCGAATTGGATATCAAAGTGATTGCCGTCACTTTGAAAAATTGTCGAACTGAATATATGTGGTTCGTTTCGTGGAAATCCTGGAGTTATAGGTACTTGGAGTTGTCCTTGATCTGTTAGTTTTGGTTTGAAGTCGTTTCGAGTTGTATTTTGGGAGTTATGATTTTTCTAAACCGAGCATGCTGCTGAATCGTAATAAATTCACCATAAATCGAGTTGTTATCCGTTTGAGCTGAATTTTTGATATGTTGTGCCTCTAAGTATGTGGAATATGTGTGCCAAGCCCCTGAATTTATTTTTGAGTTTTTTGAGTTCAAATGCTTAAAACGGTTTCTGAGCAGAAACTTGTAAATTTTTTAAAAATCGTACACTTGGAGTTTTGAGTTGAAACTTTCAGGAACCTGTTATTTTATGATGGTTTAGGTTGTGTAAAACTTTCAGACTGAAACTCGAAGTGTAGCTATGCGAACTATTATATGTCGGTTTTGACGTTGTTTTCCTTAAAATTATTTAAAAATGTTCCCGGATGAATTTAGGGCTAAAACTTGGTGAGTTTATGTGTTTTTATGTGCTTTATAATGTGGTAAAGTTTCAGGTTGATTGGATGAGTCTAGCTTTCGTTTCTGAATTTTGTTTATTTTGAAGTATAATGTTCGGTTATCGGTTGGTTAGGTTCGGATAGGATTTATTTAATGTTGGCATGTTTTATGTGAAATATTTGAGGTATATGAGTTGTGTCCAGGTCTAGTAGTCACTCCAAAGTACTTAACTCGGTCAAGGAATCCACGAGTCGCTTAGTCGATATGATTTCGACTAAGTATATGTACCTTGTGTGGTATTGTATATTGGATAGCCAGTGATAGACTATTATAATTGTTGTAGGTTCGTCGAGCTGAACTTGTGCCATAATTCCTTCAACTCTGTTTTTGGCTATACCTCTTGCTATATCCAGGTGGGTTGTTATTCTAAATTGTCTATGCAATAAATTGTTTACCTTGCTTGTGATGATCAATGTATGATTACAAATTATGTAGCCTTCGATGTGAGTTGTATCGGTCGTCGAACGGTTGTCCCGTATTTATGAAATGAAAACCCGTGGGGTTACTCCTACTGACTGGGCATCGATAGAAGCCCATGGGGCATTCGATGTGTAAGACCGGAGGGCATAGACGTAAAGCCCATGGGGCGTTCGATAGAAGCCCGTGGGGCATTCGAAGCGTCTACCGGCAGTAGTCTATTGGTATAGATGTGCATATGAGTCTGAACACTGTGAATTTATGTTGAAACTTGGGATACTTAATTGATTCTTATTCATGCCGAGATCATACTGTTGATTTGTTTGATTAACGTTTACTGCATAGTGGTGAACACTACTTTTTCCAATTGTGCTCATCCCCACCTGAAATTCATGTTTCAGGTTAAGCAAGGCGGGTGCGACGGCGGAGTCAAGCGAGTGGTGGTCGGTCTATAATATAAGACTGACCCTATTATTGTTTATGCTTCCGCATTTATGAATTTCCGGATTTTATGATTGAAAAATGATAAGGAGATGCTCCTTAAGACTTATGAATACTGTTTGGAGCCCGATTTGGGTAATATTGAATATTGCATTATTGATGACTGATGATGGATTGGGTATTGAAAAATTAGAAAAGTATTGAAATTTGTTTTGAAAAATGAGTAGCGCCTAAAGTGTATTGAAATAAATTTGAAAAATTTACTCTGATTTTCGGCAAATAAAAGTGGGGCGTTACAAAGGCGTTAGAAATTAGGGGACCATGGAGGAAGACAAGTGCTAATGGAAACTAACTTCTAGGTGCATTAGTGGGGGAATCATTTGAGTGCACCAAGGTGCTGTCATGCTCAGTTTTTGGGACTGAAAAGGGGCTGAGAATGTCTGGTTTTAGCACTAGGTAGTGGAGGGAACAACCACCTCTTACACAAGAATAAAATAATGGAGTATCCATGCTAGCTTAATTAGGCATAAAAAAAATGCTAATCATGAGTTGACCTTGGTAATGATACTTAGGCTGAAAATTATCTAATCTCCCTCTCTAATAGGTGCATGACTAAGGACTATGCATTAGAGTAGATTACATGTGCCTTGGCTCGGTTATGAGGATTGGCGCAAGCTAGGTGCGCACGGCCGGACTCGCGGCCTTGCTAGGGCTTGAGAATTTCTTGGTGAACTTATACACTTAGAAAACTTGTATCATACTATTAAGGCTCGGCTAGGGTTAGGGCTCGATAATACTCAGCGCGAGAGATGCGTGGCTCGGGGCATTAGCACGGCAAACGCGCGGCTAAGGCACTGCGCTAGAGTTCAATGGTTCGGTTCGAATGACAATATTTCGAACATAATAACCGAATCATCTAACATACATAAATGATCATAAGACACTTAAACACGTGATTTCACATAGTCATGTAATAATAACACTTAAATCAAATAACTCATAAAACTGAAAATTACCGATTTCACTTTAAAGTCAAGCAAGTAAAATCGTTCTTATATTATAACTGATCGGGGCGTTATATCGGAGATATCTCAATTTGGATTCCTTACACTAAGAGAGAACTAGAGGCGACGGCTATGTGGTGTAAAAACCGTATGACATCTCTTAATCTTAAATCCAAGAGATGTGATGTATTAATAAGCTACAACAGGAACCTTAAGGAGGCATTAAATTGAGCTCCCTGTATATGGGCGTAACTGTGGGCCAAGCTCACTCCGCTCATATATGAGTAATACAGTCATTCCACTAAAGTAGTATTATTGTAACTCCCATTTTAATTCCCAATTATTTAAATTATTTCTCTATGTTTAAGATATAATGTCCAACAATCGATTCGATTACTGACAATCCAATCAATTGATCTCTTGTGCCGAAGCTAGCACCACTCAAACATTATTATTAAGTTAAATCCACCAACATGGTATAACATAATAATCCTTCTGAGCTCATTTTGGAGACATCATCAACCTCAACCATCAGATGTACATGGTGACTGTAAATATTTTAACAACACACCATGTCATGCAGTATTACTACCCAACTCAATCAATTATTGATCTAGACAGAATGAACCTCACCATGATGAATCAATGAAGTAACTACTACATACATGTACTTGTGTATATTTTACGGGTTAAGATAACGCAGTAATTAGCCAGGCCTAGTTCATTTACGGCGATCAGTATAAAATGAATTGCTCCTCTCTGGGATCCGTTCAGTGCACAATTGTACTTGTGCAACTAATTATTGAAGACCGACTGTACCGTGCACACTACAACCATTCCGTTGGCTTGTTCAATTTCCATCTAAATTGCGAATCAATTTCTTTATGTTTCACAAGTCACTGATAAATGATCTTTTGTCCATACGTGATGAACCATTTATCGAAGTGCAAAACAACCGAACATAGAACTTCTTTAATTAAATATAATTCTCATTCAAACGGGAATATTGTTAACAAAAAGCCGAGCTTTCAATATACACACCAACAATTGTTTTGGGAATCCTCTTGAGGACATCATTTCCCCATGTGGAGCCTTCAGTAGAGTACAACTTATCATAGAAATTGCAAACGAAGGTTTTTAAGTCTTGAGAAGACTCCCAAACCCTACCCTCTTCATCCACTAGTCTGGTGATTGCATTCAACTTCCTCCTCTCAACTGTAAAGGAATGAATTTTTTTTTTTTAAATTATTGTCTCCTTCCTTCAGCCATATGAGTCTGGCTTTCTGCTTCCAGAGAAGTTCCTCAGATCTATGAGCTTCATTCAATTGTGATTTGATGGATTCCCAAGCTTCCCAGTGTCTATCACCTCATGCTCTCCTCATCTCTTTCAATCTTAAAGTCAGACTTTAAATTCTCCTTTAGTTTTCTAATTATGCAACTTACTCCATGTATTAGGTCCATTCTTGTTCTCTTAATCTTTTCTTTAACTATGATAATAGGGGTTCCTTCCTTTTGCTCTAACCAAGCTTCTCGAACAACATCTTGTACTCCCTCCTTTGCCAGTCATCTTTTATCAAACTGAAATCTTCTCTTCCTTCTTACACTTTCAGGAACATACTCAATATATGATCTCCTCAAGATATTTCTACTCTCATTGTAAGGTAAGTAGATAACCACATCACAGAAGAAAAAAGCTCTATTCAACTTCTCAAAATATTCTTTTGTGCTCCCTGTTATTACCCCAGGCATACTGATAGCCATGCCAACTAATTTCATGTATCTTCATCTATGTAATAAAAGAGTTAAAGTCCACAAAGCTATTATCCTGCGTGACTCTGCCCCCTTTCTTTTCCTCCATGCTGCACATATCATTCCAAAGCTCCTACACAAATTCAAGAGGTTCCCTAATTCTTTTTCAGTTCTTGCAGCACACCCTACTATTACTCGCTAATTCTTTTAACAGAACTCATATACGCTATGGTCAACCAAAAAGGACAAAGACCCTGACCAGTAGTAAACTCTACTTCCATACAAAAATTATGACAAAGGATTTGAGACTACATCCTTATTCCACAACAATAACAATCCCCCCACTTAAACCTTGGGGGATAGCAACTCTCCATCTAACCTCAAACCCCATCTTCAAGCAAACAGTCTTAGCAAAGTCTTCATTCTTTTTTAATTTCTGATAGAAAAATAACACTATGTAATGGATCCTAATGAACTCCTTGAACTGCGGAATTATAAAAAAATTTACTCAAACCTCTACAATTTCACAGCAACACTCATTGATTACTGGCTCTACAATTTCACAGCCGCACTCTCATTGACTACTGGTTAGCCAACAGAAAGGCTTCATTTATGCCAAATAATATTCTCTCGTCTCTCAATAACTATTTCTCTCTATCTAATCCTATCCCCATTCTCCTCAATTCTTCATTACAATTTCCAGAAAAAAAAAAAAAATAGATATCCAAAAAAATCACAAAAAGTACAGAAACATTATAGAACCATGGCCCCACATGAACTGCAACCGAGGGGCTCTCAACCTAACTTTTGTTGACGTTCATAATTTTCAGCATAAGGTGGACGGATACTAACTAAAAAACTCACTAAATGTGGCATACTATTTTTGCCTTGGCAATTAACCCCATAAATACACATATACACAAAAATAGGGGCATATCCTACGAAACACTAAAATCTAATTCATGTCTATTCCGCAAATTATCAAATACGGACAGAAATGAAATGCGTCACAACGATCATTCCTGCAATCATAACTAAGAGTAACATGATTCTTACATCAACATTTAAAACCTATTGCATTACAGAACAAAAAATCTGATAAATAGAACAAAAAACAGACTCAACGACACCCAAAAAGTCACATTCACCAAGTTTCATGCATACAATAAGACATTAGCGAATTATATCAAATCGTCTTATGGAGAACCCCTTTATTTAGTTTTCGTGAAGGGCTTTCATGAGGTACAGTCTGCTAAAGCTTTGTCCAGCAACTCTGCAGATATGCCATAAAACAAAAATCAGTTTACCACAAACTTAAAGGTAAGCTAATTTAGCAGAGAGGTAAATGCTTTTAATAACTATCTTTGTATGACAAGTAATAAGCTCGTACATTATGATAAAGATAGATTGCTGAACAAGTCAACCGTATTGAATAAATTCATAGTCAAATCTAACATCACCTGGCTCACTTTCCGAATTGATCTTACAAAATCATACAATTAAATATTAGGAGTCTATAAACTCTGGTTTTCAAAAGTTTTAACAATGACCAAGAAGTGACAACTTAAATATATAAGACATGTTGTAAACTTTGACCAGACACCTAATTATTATTATCTCATTCTTGCTGAAAGAGAAAATTATATAAATCACATAAGCAACAGCAAAGCATTAGATAATACAAGGTATCGATTCTAAATTGGGAGTAATCATTAACATATGTTACCCAGCTTATGACAAATCACTTTTACTACAACGAAAATATCATTGCAGACCCAAGCAGAGATGCCAAATGTCCTCTTTATCTTAAGTTTTACCAATATATTCCACAAGCAAATTTGGGAAACAAATCAAACATAGGTTCTACTACAGATCTGTGCACTATTTCCATCCCCTAAGTAAATAATTAAAGTCTGCTTGAAACACAATTGGAACACATTCCAAAAGATGTAAAATATTTTGAAGAAATGAATGCAAATGAATGTTGGGAAATATTACCACCCAAACTAGACTGAAAGCGCAACATTCCTGCAGCTTATGATTTGTAGGTTGTTT